TGTGCGATACCGAGGTTAATGGGTTTTTTTAATGTGTCGGCAACTCAGTTAAGTACAAAGGGTTGTTTCTCCTTCTATTTTTATACCTCCATGATTTAAGGTAGGAAATAACAAACAATAAAGTTCTAACATTGTTTATTAGTAAATTTAACATTGCTCATGTGTTGAAAGCTGGTATTAAACTATATTTACGCTTTGTTTAAAGCCTGACGATCCAGCCTACGATCATTGCAAATCTAGTTCCGATAACAATGACCTTCGTAGGGGTTCGTAGCTACGTTCAAAACTGTACCTATGAGCATGCTAAGATCAGGTTACGAGTGGTTACACGTAGATACGAAGCGATAATTCAAGACTGTACTGTACTACTGCAGTGTGGTGCCCAGAATCGTTTCCAATGTGAGCAGGAATCATTTTTTAATCAGCATTTCTTTCTGCAATTGTTTCTGACTAAATTCAAGCTTATGTGAAATAACTTTACATTTTTGCATACAACAGTATACTTCAATACTGTCTGATATATTTAAACTTAAAAATTGTTTAAGCATGTTTAATTTTGTAAGGAAGATCTAGCAGTTCAGTTTCCAAAGAAACAGACCTAAAATAATAAAAATTACCTGTATGCTACTGTCATGACAATCATTGCAAAAATGTATGACATTATATTTCTATACTATATAATACTTTTATTTCATTATATTTCTATTAGAAGGAGAAAGGCATTATAGAACCTGTATAGATGCTTCAAAATTAATTAGGTGTTAATTTTTAATGAAGGTATATTAATTTGATCAGAGGTTAATGTCCAATCAAATTATCTGTAGCATTTATTATTATAACAATCACTTACAGTATCTCACAGTGCACGCTTCAAAATGGCAATCCTATGAAAATAAAACGCAGTACTGTACACTCTTTTGAAAAAGAGTACGGAATTGTCTTCCAGTGCACTGCCTAGATCAGGTCACCAATCAAATTTGGTACTAGTACTTAACTGATGAAAGTTTCTGATACCAAAAATGGTCATACAGTATTTAAATTTTTGGATATTGAATACTGTAGTACTAAATCCAAAAAGGGTAGCAATAAAACAAGAACGGGATTCTAAAGCATCAAAACTGAAAACCATGTTAAACTTAATGGAGACTGATAGACCAACAGAAGGACTAACCGACCGAAAATGCTAAGATAGATGCCAATAGTTGATGTAGAAAATTAAGTTGGTGATGTACTGTACTGTATGATTGAATTTTTTTAGGAATCGAGGGGTGCTTATTCGAATGGGGCACTTATTCGAGCGAGTACGGTAACACAATTAAAATTTGTGCATGTGCATGTTATTGCAGAATTAGGTCTGCAATTATAGATTCTGCAGTAAATGTTTAATATAAATAATGAGGTTTGTCCATGCCTCTACTGAAAATATTAAATTGTGTCCTTAGGCTATTCTAAATATATTGTTGGTGTATTACTGTACAAGTAGCAAATTCGTATTCAAAGGGATTTGCTTCTAATTCCCATGAAACCTTGATCGCATCAGCTGGAGGATGTTAGTTTCAAAGAGGTTCCGTCTCAAGACATTAATCAGTCAATATTTAATTAGATACAATACATTAACTAGCTTCCAAATAACAACTTCTGAGCAAAGTAATGAAATTAATCGCATACTTCTCAAGGTGTATTCAAGATTAACTTATAATTATTTGTTGTTTATTAAATAAATATAAGCAAAAAAAAATCTGCAATCTTGTGTCACATAATTTTACTATTTAGTAATATCTCACAATAGTAGCAAGAAATTATGTGTGTAAGAAAGTATTTTTTCCTAAACCATCCTATAACAGAAAAAGATGTGTGCACATTTAAAGCGAGCTTAAATTGTTGTAGCTATTTAAAGTGATTTTTTTTTTTTTCGACTTAAAAGCCAGGCTCCAAAGGAAAAAAATCTGTTGATATGTTGTACAACTGATTTTTCTAAAAGGTGGGAAAAGGGTGGTTTATGCCTTTAGGCCAAATAGAATTAATGGTTGGTTTTAAGTTTTTATGACAATTTTTGACATAGGTAGGTACGAAAAACATTTTATTTTTCTAAATATTTTATTTGGTCACGCTTTTAATTGTACCCCAGCTCACTGATACACACTACACATCAATTTCTCCACGTTAATTTTAATTCTTTCCGTCAGCAAATTTAGCTGCCCAAAACTCAAGGTGGAGTTTACATCAATTGACGTCCATGGATCGTCGTCCGATGTGGTGTGCGATAACGTTGCAACCGAAACAGTCGTACATGAACATGTTCTAGTTTAGTATCTTTAATGTTCGTCTTAAACTGTCACGTATTCCCTTGATTCTGGCATGTGATTACACTTAGAAAGTATACACAATCAGCATTGCTGATAATGAAAAGTACCGCTGTGTATTGTGTATTTACTAGAATCGCGTTGTATTAGCTCATCTTCAGCAGTACTGTAGTAAAATACAATTTTGTGTCCGTGATTTACAATGAAAACCATGTAGTACCGCTCATGCATACCATGTATTTACTAGGATCATGTTGTATCATTGGGAAGATCAGTCGAAAGTGTTACCAAATATACTAGAAACACAAGATAGAGTTCTCCACGGAAAAAAACTGTCCACAGAAATGCATGGTGGGAATACAAATAATTGTACGGCTGGATCTAAAAACTTCTGCCACCGTTACGGAGTTGTGAATACATAATCTTTTTTTGCAGAGGTTGAAATCATTGCCATTATCCATAAGATACAAACAAGTAGGCATAAATAAATCAAAACAATAAAATGACAGACACAAAAGCGCAGAATTGTATGACCGGACTCTGATTAGTGATAGAGTTTTTCTCCATTAGTGGAAAAAAAAGGGTGCCGTGTGCGTCTGGATATACTTAGCAATAGAAGGGCGCCCTGTATGTCGGGCCCAAGTATAGAAAACTTGCATTATAAAAAGAGAAGGGCGCCGCCTACATTTCCACCTCATTTTTGCTATGCGAGTGCTCTATCTTGTATTTCTAGTATCTTTGGTATTACTGTATACCCACAGTGAAACATGGAGTGAATACTGTAAAATCAAAAAAATACTTAAGTAAAAATATTTTAATTTTCGCGAGGTATCAATAAAAATTTATGGTCGCTGACATTTTAACAGTTCGGTTGGAAACCGGAAACCAAATATTTATTTTGTTAGGGCTTATTTCCCTCAGTTTTTAAATATTCAAAAATCTGTATCTCATTTAATTAGAATTTTTCGTCACATACTTTTTGGGTCGTGGAAAAATCAGTTATACAACATATTAAAAAAAGTTTCCTCCAGAGCCTGGCTTTATGTGAAAGATAAATGGCCTCGGGATTACTTTTTTGCAAGCATCAATATATAATTGCATTAAAAAATTGCAGGCCTCAAAAATTGCTTTCATACATACACCAGGTCTAAGTTTTAATTATGGTTTGATAAATGAGGTTTGATTAGGCCCACCATAACATGGTAGACTTAAACAATTATTTAGCTAAGATTGAGAAATCCCAGCCCTCTACTTTAAGTATTTAAGTTTAATGTCCAGTTTAATAGTATAATTTATTTGGTGAGATAGTAAATCTTTAGTTCAAGGTTCATTACTTGTCAAGAACTGTCCAGTTAGTTTATTTATTTTATTAATTTATACATTCGACTTCACACAGGTAAATATACAATAAAATAACAATGAGATATAGTTGCCGGTGACAGTTGTATTCCTACAGTACTTTGAATAATTAACACGTTGACTGCCGGACCTTTTTTGGATTGTCCCATGTGCCAAAACAAGTGTACAAACATACTTTCTTGAAATGTTATCAAGTCATATATCATCAAAATGATGTGTCTAATAAGTTGGTGGGAAAATATTAGGGAATGAGTAAGCTCGTCGCTGGCAATGGGACAGTAATTTCTATTGCCTCCAAGTGGAGTCTTCTCGTCCGCCTTTTGCATGGGTTGGTATAAGTTCAGAGAGCGCCCCCATTCCTTTAATCTGTTGTACTGCCGGCAACAAAACACAACAAACATACATACACTATTTGTACATTACCGTCTAGGTGTATCTTCCCTGAATTATCTGATGAATGAAGTAATAAATGCTAGAATGTTACCCCGGTTTTGACGAGTATAGTCATCCCTACTGCCCACAGCAACACACTGTGGGACGAGTACACTCGTCGCTAGCAGTAAACGTGTAAACCATGCCTCAACTTGGCATTTTTTCCATTATTACAGTTTTAAAATTTTGAAACAGCACCGCCAACGTCTCGCAACTAACTGGGTGACTTCTAGCGGCCTTGCCTGAGCAGCAAGTTAGTAGTGTCAAATAGAGCGCTACGCACACACTGGTAACTACGTAGAGCGAAGTATGTAGAGCGAAGTGCGTAGACCTCTAGAAGTCCCCGTGGTAGTTGCCAGGTTATCAGAGATTTTTATTTCAAATTTCATGAAAATGGTCTATAAAAACTACCACAAACATTTATCATTGTTTGTGACACTGTAGCATATCAATAGAATATGGTATACCACAAGGTCAACACCCAATTAATCACTTCTCTATATTATTTTCTGCTTTGTTTGCTTGTACAAAGGTTAATCATTATTTACGGCTATTGGAATAGAAATTATATATTTCAAAGTAGACAGACACATATTGTAGTATACACCATGGCTTAAATTTGTAAATGGAGGAAAAATTATTTTAATAAGCCAATTCGTTGTTTTAACTGCACATGCTGTATCCAAGGTTAATTGACATAAACTTATGTTGTGTGTATGTTTAAGTTTAAACGTTGATTGATCTTGATATGGGCATGAGCAGTTAAAACTACGAACTGACTAAACTAAATACTGATACTGAATTAGGCTTCCAAAATTCTGATTTCCAAAATAGTAAGTATGAAGATTTTTTTTTTCCATAAAGTGAAATTAGATTCAATTTAATAAGCAAAAAGGTATTACTTACCAAATACAGGTTCATCCATTGATTGGTTGACAACTATATGAGCATTTAACTCGTTCAACTCCTGCTGCAGTTCCTGAAGTCTACTTATTATTTTTTTAATTAATTAGCCTAGGCCTAGCTTATTTTTTATTTACAATTATTTTACCTCTTTTAAATGTCAAAAAATGATGTCCTCAATGACAATACACATATTTGAAGAGATTGTTCATCAAATAATATTTTGTAGTCTTGATTTAGTAAGATAAATAATAAATATAAAGTAGAATTAACGTCCGTTGGTTGTAAAATTACCGAATGTCACATGGAAAACCCAATGGAAAATAAAACTTTGCCAGCATCAGTGCGCGCCAATCAGAACACAGTAAAGTGTGTTAAAGGTTAACCTCGTGGCAAATGTTGAAAAGCTGTGAGCAACAGTGAGTAAAAAACAAAGTAAACGCGGTCTAGCATGACTAGCCTTAATTCGGCAAAGTAGTGATTTCTATACTTCCATTTAGTATTGGATCGCTTTGCAGGTTCTGCTTCAAATTATGGTAAAAAATAAACAACATGATCTGTAGAAGTAATAATTTGTACATGATTTGTCATCAGTATTATTATTTAAAAGAAGAAAATTCCTACTACCAGAACAATAATATCTGATCCAAATTCCTCGAATTGGAAAGTTTACCAGTATAATTACTGTCTGCTCTCCTCCTCTATGGGGGAAAATGTAGGCCATACGTAGGCCTAAATGACATCGAAATTCGAGCATACTGAATGCCCACTAGGTTTACCTAGCTAGCAAACTAAACACAGTTTTAAAACATGATCGATCTAATAATAAGGTAGGATATAACAAAACAACAAAGTTCTAACATTGTTTATTAGTAAATTGCAACATTGCTCACGTGTTGAAAGCTGGTAAACTATATTTCAATATTGTTTACGCATTGTTTATCAGCCCGACGATCCAGCCTACGATCATTGCAAAGCTATTTAAAATAACAATGATCTTCGTAGTGGTTCGTAGCTACGTTCAAAATGTACCTATGAGCAGACTACGAGATGTTACGCGCAGATACGAAGCGATAATTTGTGTCTGTACTGTAGAGTAGTCTTGGAATTAAATTTAAAGGGGTCTTGAATTGGAGGGCAGTCTGTATTTCAAAAAGGAACATTGTGTAATGATGACATTTAGACTTTATGTTGGAACACAGTAACACCAAAGTGTTGTTATTGTTTTAAATGTATCTTGATTTCTAATGAGATATTATTGGAGATTAATGTCATAAATAAAACAAATACTTTGGATTCAGCTTATATCTATCAATTGTTTTCTTCTTTCCTTTTATGTTGGTTAAATATATTTTATTAATTTGTAGCTACTATAGTAATGCTACTACAAATAAATTTCTGATTATCTCCACCTGCGGCAGATTTTGGTTCTTACGCATGAGAGCGCGAGACGACCCTGAATTCGCGAGCCTTATGTATATGGAGCACCAAATACGCTGATTACTGCTGCAGAATTGTTTCATAGACGTATGGTCTAATGACCAGGATAAAAATGCATAGGTCATGACAATGTTATTTTAAAACCACCATTTTCCGACATGCTGTACAGTAGTGCTATAATAAGATAGCAAGACTGAAGGTCAAATGAGTTGCACCAATCAATAGTCCTAGGCCTGCCTCAGATTTACGTCAAACCTTTTTTACTTGGCTTTACTTCCAAAGAATGCATGTTGTATTTTATTGGTGATGTAGGAAGTAGGCCTATTATAGCGATCTTTATTTAAATTTTTTTACAATGTTGCCTATCAATCATCAGCACAACTGAATTATACTACCAGAGAAGTGATGCAAAACATATGAATAAATTTAGTCCTGTGAGTCAGCCTACTTTCAACTTCAGCCTAACTACAGCCTGCAGACAGTACTATTAGTATAGTAGGCCTAGTAGGAGCCTCTCAAGGGAAGTCAGCACAGGGAGAGAGCAGAGGAGTGTGCTGCACCTGGGCTGCTTTGCTGCCAGTGCTTGCACTCTTCTTGTTTGTATGACGATATGAATAATGAAAATTGAAATGCTAGGGTAAAATGCAGTGATAAAATATTAGTTCAATGATTAACCAATTATTACCTGTAAGTCAGTCGCCATTTTGCTGTCGTATACTATCCTAGTAGTACTAGTTAGTAGTACAGATGATAGATTTCAATTCTATAAACAACAAACTTGTTTGGCCAACCGAACCAGCCAATTTTGGCTAGCGGGCGGCAACACTCACAGCTCACACACTAGAGAGACAGGATCTGGGCGGTAAAGTCAGAGACTGCGGAAGTTTACTTAGAAACGACACCAGTTCTCAACCATCCAAAACAATTCGATATTTCGTTACCACTTCTGCACTAAAAATAAATGTATTGGAAATATATCCAGTAACAAAACTGTACAATCACGGGTCCTATAGATTTCAAAACGACATAAATACCATCACATTTTCGCAGCATTACCCTCTGAAAGTTACCAAAATCTCAATCATTTGTAATACCAATGGTCACGTGATCCTTACTCGGTTCTTTTCCAATCAAATTTCGCGTATTGAATTCGCCAGGGTTTATTGAACGCCCAGAATCATTGGTGAATTTGAGAGGATTTATCACTAGACTTCTTTATCCAGCCTGTTTTAATTTTTATTTGTGTCAAAGGGTATCTTCAATCAAGCATGACTTTAATAACAAACTTGGCTGATGACGTCATGATTTATAGCGAGCCAACGTGATTGCATGCGGCAACAGGCCCAGAGCAGTCAGTCCTTATATATTACTGTATTCCGAATAGTAGAGTTGGGCTTGCTTCGGATTGGCGTTCAGTTCATGTGTTATCATGTTTTTCTAAACATATAAAATAGTCTAGGCCTAAAAAACAAATGTGTGGAAGAACAGCTTGGTAAGTGTAATAATATTATAAAAATATTTCGAAAAAACAAACGCTACGGCTATTAGAATTCTGGGCTAAAAATAGAGTAAGTAAAGGACCAGGGAGTTATTATAGTGACACTAGGCTGGCTAGGAGGCCTACAAGGCCCTTTTAAAGCCAACTGGGCACAGTGTATCTTACCTTCCCAACCTAGAGACTAGAGGCCTCATTAAAAATAGCAAGATTGAAGTTGAAGCCCGAGTTGAAGTTAAAAAAATAATAAGATGCATTAAGAAAGAATTCGATCAAACTCGGCCAAAAGTCAACTCGGCCACAAGTTAACTTGGCCACAAGTCAACTCGGCCACAAGTCAACTCGGCCACAAGTCATTTACTGGTACTACTACTACACTTTGAAGGAGTAATCAATCAAGTATTAAATACTAATTCTTTAAGTTTTACTATACTTATTGTAATTATTATTATTGCTGTTATTATTATTGTTGTTTTTATTACTGTTAGTTTTAATATTAATTATTAGTCTTATCATTAACATTATGTAATGTTTAAATTTTTGCTGATAAATAATAAATAATTCTCGATTTTTTATTCATATTATAATTAGTATTATTATCGTCATTATTATTATTATTATATATTAGTCTTAGTATTATTATTTTAATAATAGTAATTTATAATACATACTCCAAGTATTGAAATACACGCCATCATGTAATTTATAAAATATTGTTATTGGTGTTTTATTGGTATTTTTCTCATATTATTAATATTATTGTTGTTGTTGTTGTTGTCACCCTTATCATCGATATTATTACCCTATTATTACTAAGTAGGCCTAGTCTTACAAGTATCATCATTATTATTATTATTAATAATTAGTATTACTATTATTATAAAAATAAACATCTTAATTTATTATTGCTGTTATTATTGCTATTATCACCTTCAATATCATTATTATCACTAATTAGTATTATCAAAATAGATATTTAAATATCGTTATTAATAACATATTAGTATTATTACTATTGAGTATTGTCAAAGATACTAGAAATACAAGATAGAGTTCTCGCATTGTAAAAATGAGGCGGAAGTCGTGCCCAACGTAGACGGCGCCCTTCTTTTTAATCATGCAAGTTTCCTATACTTCGTGCCCAACGTACAGGGTGCCCTTCTGTTGCTAAGTATATCCAGACGCAAAAGGCGCCCTTCCTTTTCCACTAAGAGTGCGTCCGGCCATGCGATTCTGCGCTGTATTGTTGTTTTATTCTTTACTGATTCATGATTATGCTTTAATTGTTTTGTGTATTATTTGGATAATAGCAACGATTTCTACCGCCACCAAGGAGGTTATGTATTCACCGATGTCACTGTCTGGGCGTCTATTCCAGTTTGTTTTTATATCTAGTATCTTTGTTGAGAACTGATGATAAAATACGCGACGACTTGGTAACGAAAGTTTGTCCCATTTTTCGTATTCCCACCTTGCATTTCGGTGGAACACGGTGGAACACTTTTTTTGTGTGGAGAACTCTATCTTGTATTTCTAGTATCTTTGGTATTGTTAAAATAAATATTACTATTAATATTGTTGTTGTTATCACCTTTATTATCGTTATTATGACTAATTAGTATTATTAAAAGTATTATTAAAGTAAATGTTTGAAAAGGAAGCATTCATTTGATTTTAGTCGGATTCAAAATAAATTTTTAACATTTAAAAAATCATAATGTGGTTTTTCTATTTCAATTTTTTATGATTAGGTCTACAGTATGTACTAATGTTTTATGTCAGTGTTTTAACATGAAAAAAAAAATTAAACATTAATATACCAGTATGTGTTTTTCTTAATTATTAAGATTGCTTAAATTGTTAATGTTACATTATTGTCAGATTTTATTCCATTCTGTAAGTGACGGGTTTTCTCTGTTGAATAAGAGTACAGTGTGAAGAAATTAATACAACGATCTCACGACGATGATCAGAATTTTACTAAAATATACTGTGTACTTCATTTCAATCATGTTGAAGAAAAAGGATGCAAAAACTGAGTAATATTTACATTTCATTTTAATTATAAATAACTTGTGGCCGAGTTGACTTGTGGCCAAGTTAACTTGTGGCCGAATTGACTTGTGGCCGAGTTGACTGTAGCCGAACTTTTTGTGGCCTAGTTGATTTGTGGCCGAGTTGACCTGCTTCCTTAAGAAAACCTTAAAATAGCACAGAATTTTCAGCTCCCATCGAATTTGGTTTTTTTTTTTTTGTTTTTTTTTGCTGTTGAACAGCCTTTTCCTTCTTGAATATTGGATGGAGGCACCACTCACTATTTGTTGTTGGTCAAAATTTTAAATATAAATTCATATTATATTGTGTGCCGTGTCTAGTTTTAAAATAATCATGTATATGAATTTACTTTTTTAAGTACCCTTGATCCAGACGATTTACGATGTGCCTGCGCTTATACTAATAGAAAAGGGCAAAGAAGACGGCCACAGTGGAGACAGCCACCATCATCGAAGGGAGGAGGAAACGCTAACAGCTACCAAGGCTCAAATTCTAGTTCAGGAAGTAATGGAAAGCAAGGAAAAACCAGGCAGTATTTTCCATCAACAAATATTAGTCCACAGTCTGTCACGTAAATAATTTATTAGTTTTTATTTCAATAATTTATGTGGTACAACCAATAGTGTATTGCAAATAATCAGATGATGGATTTTGGTGATGTTTATATCAATATTGATGATATGGTTTTGATGGTGGTGATGATGATGGTATTAGTTAAGCCTGTTGTGCAGTGCAGTGTGGTTCCTCCCATAGATGATGGTGGTGGTAGTGATGATAAGTGGATGTTGAGGATGATGGTATTTGGTAAAGTTATGTCAGTGATAGATGATGATGTGACAGTGCTTATGACAGTCAATGGTGATTAGGATGAAAATGGTAAAAAATGATAAAGTGATGACACTTATAATTGATGATTATTTGCTTAAGTGATATGATAAAACATGGCTGTAGCAATGATTGCTATGGATAGGCCTAATCATGGTGATGAAGGATGATGACAATTTTATTAATGATATGTTTTAATGATGACAAGACTAGTTAATGTTAATTGATGATAATTATGATGGATAATTTTGCATAAGTGATGATGCCATGATGTTGGTAATTTAATGGTAGCAATCATCGTGGATGATGATAGTTGCGATGTGGTACCTGCCTGTAGTAGTGATGATGCATGATAATGAAGAATATGACAATGTTAATGATAGTGGGTGATAATAATGATGTGAATGATGATAAAGTAGTCACAGCTGATGATTGCTAAATGATGATATAGATGATGGCATGATGATAGAGGTAATTATGGTGGCAGTGTTGATGGCCATGTGTGATGATAGCAGTGGCATGGAGTGATAGCTTTTTAATAGCTGACTGGATAGAAACAATAACATGCATCTGTATTCTCTCTAGGCCAGTATTATTGTCATCTAAACATTTTGATTCTGATGTTGAAGCCGATGAACAGTCATTGACAACAATGCAATGGGGTCTTGTGCCTTCATGGCATAAAGGTGATCCATCTCAGGTAGCCTACAAGATGAATAACTGCCGTGGTGAAAGCATGATGAGTAAACCCATATACAAACGACCTTTTGAAAAGGGTCAGCGCTGTGTTGTTCTTGCAGATGGGTAAGTACAGTAACCAATAGGTTTAATTTTCACAATTCATGACAAATATTTTTTCAAATGTGAATAATGCATTCATTTACAATTTTATGTAAATGAATGCATTATCCACATTCATTTACAATTTTATGTGTAATTTGTATAATATTATATTTAGTTTTTTTTTTTGTTACATGATTGTAATATGACAAGTAACTCAAGTTTCAGAATATACTGTTTTATGCTCATGCCTTACGTACAAGTACAACATTCTTTTAATTTTCTAATGTACAGATATTATGAATGGAAGTCAGTTACAGGCTCAAAAAAAAAACAACCATATTTTATCTACATGCCACAAAGCAATGGTGATCGCCTTTCCAAACTGCATATCGAATCAATGGAAAGTGACGCTTTTCCTAGAGAAAACCGTTTTCTTGAAGAAGGTAAAGAGGTTGAAGGTGATGATAAGTTTAAAGAATGGACTGGACACCGGTTGCTGACAATGGCAGGCATTTTTGATCGTTGGATACCTTCAAACGTAAGATCACATTTATCTTTGTTACCTTTATTTCTCCCTGTTGATTACATTTCTGTTTTACTTTTTTGTTGTCTATTTTCTCATTCTGTTTTTACTCTATGTGTGCCTTGCTGAATAATTTAATGGCTACTTTCAACTTGTACATTTTGTGCAGACGGATTTTTAAATAACTGTAATTAGACTTGAATGATATTGAATATTTGGGAGTTTTTTCATATTTTTACAATATGAAGTAATCCTTTTACTGTTAATTATAGTCATTTATATCTATGGTATATAATTATTAGTAAACACTTTCTATTGATATTCATGTTAACCAAATAATATGTTGTCATCTAAACATAGCTATTGTTTTTATTATAGGAGGGTGAACCTCTCTACACGTATTCAGTAATTACTACAGAGGCAGTTGCTGATATGGCAGACATACATCATAGGATGCCAGTGATCTTGGATGGGGATGACGAAATCAGAGATTGGCTTGATTTTGGCTCAGTTCCTTCTACCGAAGTATGTCTATTTTAGTGCTGATGCATGTACATAGATAATAGATAAATAGATGCATGCATGCATAGATAGCAAGGTGGATGGATGGATGATGCATAGATAGAAAGATGGATGGATGGATTGATGAATAGGTGGATGAAACAATGAGCTTATTCGACTGGATCATTTCGATTTTTCTTTGAATGTTATTTTCATTTGACTGGTTCGTAAAATAGACTTTGTTGACAAAGAAAATTAATGTTAATCGTTGTTAAGTTATCCATGTGACCAAAACAAAAAAATTTGCATTAATATTATTTAGATTAAATTTCAGAAAATAAAATTTATAATATTTACCCACATGAAGTCAAAAAATAAATATAGAATTAAAAAAACGGGATGAAAATATTTTTTTTAACAAAAAAAAATCCGTACTGCCACAGTGCGAAGCAGCCTTGATTACGCAGTGTGTATTGCGGTAACTATGCAACCATTTTGTTTTGTTGAGTATTTACCAGTTTTCTATTTGACTGGTCGTCTTCATTAGGTAGGATTTTACCACTGCGCAGGTGATTGTAGTTTAAAGAAGAATGACACAGCCAATTTCTGTTTCTTTCTTAAGGTCTAGAAAGCTAATTTTATAGAGTATAAACATGTAAACAACATCCAAACATCCCATAACTCAAAATTAGCAAAGTATAAATTTGCAGTAGACGGAAGTCCCTGGCTAGATTCTATTTTATTATTGCTTTTTATCAGCATACAACAAATGAATAAATTTTAAAAAATCAAAGTAACTGAATTTATATAACTGTTTCATTTTGTAGGCTTTGAAGCTTGTGAAGGGTGTGAAATTTCTTCAGTTTCATCCAGTGTCAAGTCAGGTTAATAACTCGCGATACCATGGCCTAGATTGTGTCAAGCCTGTTGAAGTTGGGTAAGTTTATCAAGCACCTAATACTAACTTTAGTCTTCAGCACATACGTTACCCCAGTCACTGAAACAAATACTTATGGAAGACAGTGCCGGATTAACCATTAGGCAAATAAGGCACAAGCCTTGTGGGCCAGGCGAAAATGATGGGCCATCAAAAGTTGGACTGCAATATTATTTACACTCTATTTTCCGGTATTATTAGGCCAGAAAACTCGGAGACATTCTACTGTCCATTCAATTAACATTTTTGGGCCATTTCCAAAATGTGCCTTGAGGCCAGACGATGCTTAATCCGGCACTGACGGAAGACATACTTGATTGGATTTCTTCGGAGTGAAACACACTAAGGATAACCCACAAAATCTCCCAGCTAACTTCAGGGAGTAATACAGTAGTAAAAAGATTACATATTTTGAATTTGTAGGATATTATTTAGTTAACTGGAGATTTATTCTTGCTTGTGAGAGCCCAGGAGAGGGTGCTGATTTCGAGGAGACTCCTGAGACTCGCAAGAGACTTTCGACCTCTGTTACTGACTTATATTATTTATTTGCTCAACAGTACATCTTAGAAAGCATCGTGTAAAACAGTGGTAATATCAGTCCACATTGTCATAAAATATATGTTTGATTAGAGTAAATTTATGTTTTTATATATTTTGCAGTAAGCCTCCTGAATCAAAAAGTAGCAATTTAATGAGGTCATGGCTAAAGAAAGGCTCAGATACTCCAACAAAGAAAGACTTGGACTCTCCAAAATTGAAAGTCACAGATACTTCTGTGAAGAAAGAAATTGACATGAAACAAGAGCATGTAGATTCGCCGACAAAACGAAAAAAGTCGTTGATGGATGAGTGGATAAAGAAAGGTCAAAGTCCACAAAAGAAAATAAAATATGAAGAGAATTTGTTGAGTAATCTTAATAAAGAAGAAGCAACATAAGAAGTTATAAGAAAAATATGTATCCTTGTTTGATTTTAAAAAGTAACAGATTTAATGAAGAAAAAAAATTATATGGGAAATGACTTTTAAGTGTACATTTAATATATATATGCATTCTATCACCTACTTTGAGGTTATGTTTACCCTCTTTTATGCTTTATTTTAGAAGAAACATAAAGAAAGTAGTCAGTATGTGTTAGTAGTTATTATTATTATTATGAAGTTTTGATAAAACCAAGGTACTGTATGCTTACTTTTTCTTTCCTTCATGCTTTTGTTAAATGCCAGTTATAATTATCAGTACAGTTGTAACTTCAACAGTTACAACAGCATTGTCTCAACCACCTATATAAAGGGGGGTGGGGGAGCTTATTCTGCTTTAACAATGGTGGTACCAGACTAAATTATGAACTGAAGAAAGTAAAAATGTAGCTACAACATCAAGCCTCATATAAACTGATGATGCTGACAGTCTACTTTGACAAAGCATAACTTATTTTTATGAAATTGAACATTTTTATAATGTATGAACTTAACCAGTGAAGATTTCTACCAATAGTAATAGTTGTATATAAATATATAGAATCTGTGAAAATTCTACTTATGTACATATACTCTTGATATAGGTGATATTTTGAGGCATGATGACTCTGGCTCTTATTTTGACACAGTTTGTCTTGTTTTGAAATTCAAATTGAAATATTGCAAAACAGTTAGGATTGCTTTTGAACTTATAAATTCTAAAGAGTAAAAATGCTTGTATAGTGCATAACATTCTTCAAAACAGAATAAATGGTTGAAATGGAAAAGAAAGACAATTTTTAATATCAAATCATTATAATTACATTTACTTCAGTAATTAGTTAACTATATGCTGTCACTTAAGTATAATATAAACTGTATTTATAAAATTTATTTTCAATAAATGAATACCACAATTAGACAAAGAATCTTTAAATAGTTTATGAGATTTCAGCTAAATTTTAGAGCAAGTCTTCGGCAATTAACTCATGTTAACTTTAAATGGTACCATTCCTATAGTCTACTAGTACAGTACTGTTAAATTTCTGGCAAAAAAATAAAATAAAGATTGTTGAAGTAGACATAATCACTGAAAATGTATTTTGTTTTTACAACTGTTACCTTGAAAGTTATAAATATCATATTAACTAATTTAATAGGATTGCTTATGAACTTATAAATTCAAAAGAGTAAAAATGCTTTCACTATTAAATTAAGAAAACCTTTATATACATACAAAATTAATATAGGTTCATTATTAATTCTAACCTTAAATAAGAATTCTCTACCATAGGTATCTTTTATTCTAAGGATGTCAAGAAAAGTATGAGACAGAAAACATGAAATTGTAATGGTCTGTCCACATTATTATCAAGATCTGTCAGAAAATGTAATCTTTATCATATATTAGAGGGATATGACATTATTTATTTTATTATAGACATATCAGATATTTGTCACCACCATGATGGTATGGCCAGTGCATAAGGTAGATATATATTCTGTTCAGAAACTTTTTGCAATTTTTTTTAAGAACAAGATGATGTATCGGTTGCTGCTCTAACATTATAAAATTTTTAAAAAACAGAAAAAAAGAATGCATGTAAGGCTCTCCAACTAAAGCCAAAATTGGATCTCCTCCCTTGCTCAAGACAAAAACAAAATAAAAAGGAGGGTATTTGTAAGTAAGGGCATTTCCTAGGCCTCCCTAGCATAACTTACTAATTAGCCTAATTTAAGCTTTTAAATATAAATCTATTAAATATCAAGTTTAGTTTTGAAATTTGTGAAATGCATTATTTACAGTTATCAAATATTTTCAAATGTGGTAAGAAAATGTAGTGTATCAGTCAGTGTCTCTATCAATTAAATTCAGCAGCATGACTTGAATCAAGCAATTTTGTGGCCGTCATCTTAACCATGTCTTGTTGCATGGTGGTCACAAGATGTATATTCCTGACCACTGATTAGTTCCTTGACATTACTCACATGATGGAAATAGTCTACTTTGGCAAGTTCATGTAGCCAGTTTCATTGAAAATGTGTGCAATATGCTAACTAAAATATATACAGATCTTTTAATCGTAAGGAGAGTTGCTATTGGAATGTTATTATCGCATATATATATTTATCACAACACTTGCATTAGCGTCATTCTTTTTCTTACAACATGTCCTCGCTTATTAACAGTTAAATTTACTCATTTTCCAATTCCTCGTTCATATCTTGAGACTGATACTTTGGAATTTGGTAAGGATTGGATTGATTGGATACATTTGAAATCTGGGTCGCCAGGTCTGGTACACAGGACATGTAAATATTGGGGGAAGAGGAGTTAGGTGTCACATATATGTCGGAAGGTTGTATGGGTGTCTCGTATAGGTTTTGGTTTGAAGACGATGCAGAATTTTCATAATTGCTCTCTATATTCTTCATATACGCATTTTCTTTTGACTACAAAAAGAAATATAATAATAGATAAATGTTTATTAATAATTACCAAATAAAATGGTCAATGGTTGAAAATTTATTTTTGATAAATGAATACCACAATTAGACAAAGAATCTTTAAACAGTTTGAGATTTAAGCTAAATATTAGAGCAAGAAAAATAGATTTAGATTCAGATATATAGATTCAGAAAACCGCATATTCTACTAGTACAGTTCTGTTAAATTTCAGGCAAAAAAAATAGAGATTGTTGAAGTAGACATAATCACTGAAAACCTATTTTGTTTTTACAACAGTTACCTTGAAAGTTATAAATATCATATTAACTAATTTAATACAATGCAATTAAATCGTTACCTCTTCATCTACCAATTTGATGTTTTCCATTGGTAAGTAGTCATGTTTTGCGAGTGTCACACTTGCCAACAAGCTGTCAAATTCTTTGTATATGTTCTCAAAGGTAGGTCGCTTGTCGGGTGACTTTTTCCAACACCTCTTCATTAAGGAATACCTTTGATAACACAATGTAAAAAATTGAATTGAAACGTTAAATTTGAGCTAATAATCTCATATGATAGATAAACATCTGCTCAAAAAATTTTACATAATCGGTTGATCATTGTTGCATATGTTATCGATGGCGTCACTTACACTTCAGGTGGACAGTTCTCTGGCTGTTTCATTCTGTACCCACGTTGTAGTTTCTTCGGGAGGATGTCTACAATGACGTCAGGATATGGAGTCTTGCCATACGTGAATATCTCGTATAAGACAACTCCAAAAGACCATCTACAAAAGTAAATATTAAAATGTAATCAAATAAAAAATCAAAATTTTAAAAATTCTGTTAAAGTGTATTTCGAGGTTTGCAGGCAGGAGGTGCTTCATATTTGTTAAAGCATATAATAGGGCCTAATTGATATAAAAAAAAAAACTTGAATAGTTCATTTCCTTATTTAAGTACTGTAGTTATCTGTGTTTGATTGAAAGTTTTAACGATACGTAATTTCCTCAAATTAAATGTTTTCATCAAAAGTATCTAATGTTGTTAATAACTATTGTTGAAACAATTGTTGTGTGTAATATTTAGTGCTGTCAACATAATTTCAGTGAATAACATCTTACACATCACTTTCTGATGACATTCGCTTTTCAAATATCGTCTCCAGACTGTACCATTTCAAAGGTACCTCTCCACCGGAAACTTTGATGTAGCCTCTTTCGTAAACATCCTGTCCAAGTCCGAAGTCAGCAACTTTTACAATCAAACCTTCTCCGATCAAAATATTTCTAGCAGCTAAATCACCATGGACTACTTTTTTTTCAGAGACGTATTCCTTTAGAAATGTTAAAGAACATTATTTTTGAATGGTCTTGAAGCACAAAGCACTGTTATTTTCTTGATCAATTTACTTTTATTAAATATTGTTGTCTAATATGATCTCCATTTGCAATCGATACGGGCGAATGTGGTTATTATGAGTGTTTTGTTGACTATAGGCCTACAGAGATGACTTTTTCAAATCCCTAACATTCCAAAATAGACAAACCACTTAGTTGGTTAATTTATTGGTTCAAAAATATCATAGGAAAGGAATTTGAAGCAATATGATGAAAGGTACAGATTAAAGCTGCCCTGTCCAGACTATCAAAATATGGCATGCCTAAATATGGTCGTGATGACATCATATCATGTTAGACACATCATGACTGTGTTTTTGTCAAAGAAACTTTGATAGTGTGGACAGTGGAGCTTTCTACGACATACCATTCCAGATGCTATTTGTCGACTTATACTGTACAGCTCCGCAAGACCAACATCGAACACTGAATCACCAAAAAATCCATCTTTTTTCATCTGATGTTGATAAAAAAAATTAACATATAATCTCATGTTTAAATAAATACACACAAACTACATTAATACATTTATATACATACATTGTATATTTAAAACATAATTCTCAATGAGTCTCTTATTGGAAATTTTAATAAACTTTAAAGATAGCATTGTACCACGTTATAGATAATGTGGTTAGGGGAACAGACTATATATAATATTATAGTTTACCTGAGCAGAATTGCGCAGGAAAGTGAGCAGGTTGCCGTATTTCATGTACTCAGTGATCATTAATAATGGGTCGTTAGTCGTCTTGCATCTCAAAATACCGAGGACATTGTGGTGGTTTCCCAGTTGGATCATCAGGTCTATTTCAGCCTTGAAGTCTTCTTTCTCGGCAGCAGACGACGTTTCTAATATAAATTGTTTGAAGTACATTTTTTATATTATTTATATTCATACATTGAATTCAAGGATTTTAAGCCTTGATAATTATCCAAAGATGTCTAAAATTGTATTTGTTAAAAAGTGCATAATTTATGTTTAATTTATGTAGTAAAAGTAATTCACAAATTGTTAACCACAAAACTACTTAACTCCCCTTAAATTTAAAGTTGATTATGACAACTTCACATCATTGTCGTGCGCGTATGGTTCTATTTATTTCGCAAAAACACAAATAACATGCTTGGGTAGCGTCACGTCACGGTGGTTGTACTGTACATTTAGTAACCGCTTTTGGACGCAAATAGGCCTAAAACGTTTTTTGAAAATCGAATGCATTGCGTAACTATGTAAGTCAAGGGTGGAGATATAAATTATGTTGTGCGCTACAAACTCCAATTTCGAAGGATGTAGACCTGAAAGGGAAAGGGGTTTAAAATTAATTATGACGTCATTCATGAATACAGTATTTCACGTAAGTGGTACACACCTAGAGGTGTCTTTACGGCAACGGGAATCTCGCTATGTCCTGTTGTTAAGGTGCACGAGAACACCTGACCAAACCGACCTCCACCAATCAGAACGCGCTGATCCCAATCAAGGCTTTCGTCTGGTTTAATTTCATGCCTTTTGAATTTAATATCTGGCTCAATGCGTGATGGGAGCAACATTTCCATATCTTCATTATGAAAATAAAAGCAAAAGTAACAAACTGCTATTGTTTATACAATAAAGAAATAGGCCTATTCAGACTTATAAATGTACGTGTTAAATGGTTCAGTTTCGATTAAACACCTAGCTGTGTGTTCCATAATTTTGATTTCCAAACACTGTGTATCATGAATATAAAAGCATTGTATTTTATTAAATTTTGCTGTTTTGGTTTAAAGTCATCATTTTATTTTACTTAGCACAAAATTGATAACATGAGGCAAGTACTTAAGTCAGATAAAGTCAACGTAAACCTAATGAAATTACAAGAAGTACAACACAAAAATTACCCCGTTCATTTACACTGGTTATAGTAATTTCCTTTTGACGTCGTTTCTTTCTGAACCAAAAAAGCAGCAAGGCGCACAGTATCAAAAGACCGACACTGGCAAGCGATGCAATGATGATACCTGCCAAGAGTTTTGATTGAATAGCTTTGTCTGGTGGTGGTTTGGTTACTGATGCTTGATTGGTCAGAAGTGTGCTGATAGGGTCGGGACTGCTCTTAGACGAAACAGTTGTAGGAAGGGCTGAAAATGTCACAAACAACAGGAAATCAGGTATTTATTTTGCTGATGGTATGTTGACGATAGATTGTGCTACTAGATAGTGATGATTGAGTTGATAATGATGACTTTATGGTGATGTAGGGATGTTTATGTTACCGTGGAATGCTGCTAATCCTCCTAGAGCAAAACATGGGTACAGAAATATATAGAAAATTAAGCAATTGTAAAACGCTTGCATAATTCTGAAATGAAATAGTTTTGCTCTGGCCAGTGGCTGGAAGAAGGTAGAGTGAAGATGAATACGGGACAGAGGAAACTCGCTTATGTCCGAGAACGGATAAGTGAGCGGATTGATGGTGGATGCCGCAGTATCCTTTGTCTAGTTTCTGTGTCATGTTTACGGATAAACGGGCATCCTTGCTGTAGATTTTTGCCGATAAGAAATGAATAAATGTGGCTCGGTTTAATAGTTAATAACACTGGTAAAATGAGCTTTATGGGAAGGGATCAGGTACCGTAATTTATGTGTGAACAGCGGAATCTGTAAGCCTGTTTTCCACTAGGTGAATTTATTCGCGCGAATCGAAAGCGTCGGTTCATGCGCATACGCATTCACATTCCTATCGGAGTTTTTGCGAAGCGAAAAATGCGCAACTAATCAGAGCTCAGGAAGCGAACAAAGCTCTGATTCGCGCGAATAAATTCGCCTAGTGGAAAACCAGCTTTACAGCACGAATCTAATAATTAACTTAAGAATCTTAATACTCAGAAAACAGTCTAATCCAGGAGCGTTAATCAGCGCTACTGACCGCTTTTAACGATGTTAACAAAACGCTTTCATCTCGTCCACAAAAAAGTAACATTACAAGACGCGATTTAAAGTCAGGCTCCGGAGGAAAAAAATGTTTTGATATGTTGAGAACTGATTTTTCTAAGACAGAAAAAAGTTGTTTGACGAAAAACTGGGGAACGGTGAACGAGATACATATTTTTGAATTTTTAAAAACTGGGGAGAAAAGGGCGTAACCGCCCATTTTTACACCTTTTTCCCCCAGTTTTTAAATATTCAAAAATCTGTATCTCATTCACCGTTGCTCAGTTTTTCGTCAAACAACGTTTTTCTGTCTCAGAAAAATCAGTTCTACAACATATCAAAATTTTTTTTCCCTCCGGAGCCTGACTTCAACTTACCTTCCTCGCAGATGACGCCAGAGTACCCAAACGCGCATTCACATGTGTAGCCTGACCAGCCATCCACGCATGATCCACCATTCACACATGGGTCACTTGCGCACTCGTCTATATCTTTAACAAAAAAATCGGTCTATCAAATAAACAAACAATTCCTCATAGGCCTAGGTTTATGTTTTACACCAAAATGTCTATAATAGGACTGATTTGGTTTTTATATACTTATTCAAATATTTCAATTACAGTAATGCCCTTATAATTTGAGTATATTAAGCATTTTAACTAGGCCTATTTACAATTTTCTAACGATGATTGAGAGGCTACAACAAGCCAATCACAGAAAAGCCCAGTGTTTACTTTTCTGCATAATATAACACTAGGCCTACGTAATCAATAAACATGTAAGATGCACTTTAAGCCATGCAATACGATTTCCGCATAACATAACACTAGGCCTACGTCATCAATAAACATGTAAGATGCGCTTTAAGCCATGCAATATGTCTAAAATAAAATTATGAAAACATACTTGTCTGAATAAACATACAAGTAAATCTAACGAATGATCCCGATTCTTCAAAAACTTTATTCTCGGTCACGTCATCAACATCAAGTGGTGCCCTTAATATTCTGTCACTCTCTATCCAATAAACATATGGTCCATATATGGCGAGGTCAGAGTTGCTGGAATAGGGCTTTAAATTCAACAACGTGTTCTGGTTTTTAGATTCCCCACCAAGCGAGATGTATTGTATGCGTTTGTAAGCGTCTTCTATCCAATATAATCTACGGTCTAAAACAGATACAAACATGTAATTAATTCTACCAAGCATGAGACTTGTTGACACATCCATTCTCATTTTGTTGTATTCCTTCAATTTGTTTATGCAATTAACTTATTTTACTAATTAAATAATCATTACATAAGTCCACAATCATAATTGTTTATGTAGCTGAGTATAAGGCCGGCAATTTATTTCATCATGCACAATTGGACTTTTACCTTTTGACTAACTAAATCAACCAAATAACGAGCTAGTAAAGAGAATCAAAATTGGGCTGTTTATAGTTAGATAGTTTGGCAGTTTTTGGTTTGTGCTAAAAGAGGTGGGAAGTTAGGCCTACGCAAGGGGGAATATACCCAAAATAACGTTCCTTCTTGGTCCTCCGATGAGGATCTTAGTCTTTCATGCATTTCCCACCTTCTGCTGGCACCACAGTGGCTATCTTACCAATTGGATCTATTGCCAATGAATGCGCATCTGTCAATCCGACTGAGATGAAAGGTTCACGATCCGAGCCGTCTAGATCAGCTCGCTCAATCTTCGAACTCTCGCCCCTGTCACTCCAATACATGAGCCTGAATTAGAAATGCGTCATTGAGATACAGTACAACCTCAAGCTATACGAGACCTAAAAAAACTGTTCCTCTTGAATAAGGGTTGAATGAATGATGAAATATTCTTGTTTTACAGTATGGAGCCTTTGTTAGATGCATATAAGAGTAAGGTGAATACAGCCCATTCCACTACTGTTATCATTACTAACTAAAGAAAGTTTTGGTTGTCAACAAAATATAAATATAAGTGTGTACATAATTCTAATACAGATTATAGTTTCAGATAACAGATATAGCCTATTAGGATTAATATAACACGCTGATATTCCTATTTCGATGACAGCCAAATGTTCCATGTACTACACATTGGTGATAGTAAGGGTGGGGTATGTACGTGTAATGCCTTTAAAGAAAGGTAGATTTGAAATCCCATATGAAAGTACAGTACCTTTTAGACGGGGACATAAATATCAAATACATGGAGTTTGGATTATAATAGTGTATAAGCAGAGTGACAATATGATCAATTCAATGAAAGATTTGTTGTTGATGTTTAAACAAGCAAGGATCAAGTTTAATGTTTGTGGTTCCAATTTTTAAAAAAATGAATGGACTACAATATTAATTTAAGTCTATATTATTTTTTTGTGATATGGGAAAAGTAGGCCTAAGCGTCCCCTTATAAGGGCTCGATATGGGTTGATAGGCCATTGGCGCACTTAATAGGTTGTACCCTTAGTGTTAGTCGTAGTGTTAAAAGATATGGATAGGAGTGTCCCAAAGGAGAGGTAAATGGCATTTATGATTATCCTTGTCGTACACACCCGTCCTCAAAGTCAATCACGATAGATACTGGGTATTCTGTATCGTTTGCCATCAGGAGCCGTTGGTCAGTACCATCGAAATTGATAACTTCGATGCGGTCTTGTAATCCATTACTTGTCCAATACAGTTTTCGATTTACAACATCAAGTGATATATCTACGGGAGCTAGACGAAATACAATCAACATACATATCTTATTGTAAATTTAAATCATAGTATATTTGTTACAGTATGTAATTAAAATTGTGCAATCTAATTCTGTTATATCGGCATTCATCATGTAGGCATGTAATATTGAATAGCAATAATAATAAAAATAATAATAATAATAATAATAATAATAATAATAATAATAATAATAATAATAATATAATCATAACATTATTTATAAGATAATTATTATTTTATTGACTTTTAAACCAAAATCAACGGCGACAATCGTCCGAAGGATACTGTATAACATAAAGGTTTACTTAATATAATAACTTCTTAATCTAAGAGGAAAACAATTATTTCCAAAAGAACAGGAAATTGCAGTTAACCCAAAAAATAATGTGATTAATTATGAATGCAATAATGTGAAGTATGTGTCTTTTCATAAACATACTATTTCCATCCGTTACTGTGAGGACGTTTTCAAAATTCATTCCGTCTAAGTCTGCACGGTTGATTTCTTTCCTCGCTGAATCGACCCAATATACTTTGTTATCGATGTAGTCGTATTGGACACTGGTGGGGGATTCGGGTTGTGGCTCAATATCTATCACTTCGAAATCTAACATACTGTTATCTAGCCCTATGTTGGATATAAGTATTGCTGAGTTCGCAGTGTCACCAATAAGAATGAAATCACCTACAAAATACAATTTTTCTATTAAGCAAACTATAAATTTGTTACAGTTATATAGCTGTCTCTTATACACATCTAGATGTGTATAAGAGACAGATATAGGCCAATATAACATTAATATTGGTAATAACAATAAATATAATGGTAACAATATTAATAATAATGATGATAAAGTACCGTATAAAATGTGAACTGATTAGGCCTAGTACACTAAGGGATTGGAACAAATAGAAAACAATATTACTAAATGCCTCTACAACAAAACCTACCCTTCAGCCACAGAAATTTCGAAATTTTATGACTTATCTAAAATTCACAAACAAAACACCCTACTTCGACCGATTGAATTAAGTATTGATAGCGTCTCGTATCAAACATCAAGTTACTGCATCAACGTTTTTATAGTTTTATTTAATACAACCAATTTCTTCTAATTTTAAATACATTTTCCACTGAATTTGTGATAAATTGTTATCACGCATTGACTTGTGTTAAATGCGTTACAAATTTAGGATCACGCATGTGTTTATGCGTGTTTCATCAAAAATCACTTTGAAATGCGGGACCGTCCCTCACGATGCGAGACGGTTGGTAACTATGGAGCTTTAACCGGGAAAACAAAACATCACGTTATAATCAGTATAGACTTTGCCAAGAAAAAGCATATAGAAGTTTCACCTGGTAAAAAAAACTGGTTTCATACGATGTAAAATATTTTTGCGAGCACCCCAACAGCACAAGTTATCCAAATAACGCAAGACTTACTGAGAAAGACGTTACGTTAGAGATGTGCACCAAACTCTTAATCACACAAATCATTCAGCTTCTAAGATTCATCCTCAGCTCTACATATTTCACCTACGACACAAAGGAGAATTCTATCAACAGACCCACGGCACAACTATGGGATCTCCAGTACAACCTATTTTAGCGAACATTTATAAGGAAAACTTTGAATCGAACGCTCTATCACAGCTCCTCACTCACCCTAATTATGGTACCGATATGTAGATGATACTTTAACGAAACTGGACAATCAACATAATAACTGAATTTACTAACCACATTAACAGATATCCAATTCACGATTGAACCAGAGGACATGAAACTTCCTTCCTTGGACACATGTGTCCATATCAACGAAGACACTTCAACTAAACCACGGAATACATACTGATAAATACTTGAACTTTAACTAAAACCATCACCAGAACACAAACGCTAAGTATGCGCTCACTTCTCCACAGAGCAGTAAACGTCATAAGTGTAGGAGATAAAAATAAATTGAACATATACATAAAGTGTTAACGGCCAACGAGTACCCAAAATGGATAATCAAAATTCCTGGGCCCCCTAAAAGAAACACGAAAAACAGCCACCAATCCCAAGCAGGAGATTTTCGTTCCCATTCTATATATACACGGTTGCAAGATTTTTAAAAGAAACGGAGTCAACTTATCAAAAGTTCAACATTTTACGTTTGCCACTGGTAAAACCGAAAGACCCCACAGTAACAGATTTAACAATGTAATAGGCCTAACTGTAACAAAACAAGCATTGGAGAAACGGCTAGAAACATTAAGCACACGCATAAAAGAACACACCAATCAACGAGTTGAAGTACTCTCAGCCATCACAGAACATTGTCATTACATGGAAAATACTCTTGCAAAGAAACAAAATGGAAAAGAAAAATACGAGAAGCCATCAAAATCAAAGTGCAAGCCCCCCTATTGAACGGAGATTGCTGATACTACCGCCGATCTACAATTGTCTACAACATATATTGTGTTTGGTTTATTCGACCAAAACAGTTACAATAAAATTAAGCAAACCAGATGAAACTATTCGAATATTAATAATAATATTAATACTAATAATACTTTAGATTTGTCTTTCGTTTAATTAATATTTGGTTATTCTCTTTCATGTCATTCTAGACTTAAAGCCATCCTCAACGTTTTCAAACCTACCTCGTTCGCAATACTTTCCTGTGTATCCTAGTTTACAAACACATTCATAGCCAGCTACTTCGTTGACACATGTAGCTCCATTTTGACACGGATCACTAATACAAAAATTAATCCCTATGACAAAGATGAAGTTACAGAATTATTGAAGATGATAAATACAGGTATACTTCTTTACAGATGTAAGGAGGGGGGTTAAGGAGGAGGAGGAGTAGGATAAGAATGGGAGAGGGAAAGAAGTGGGGAAGGAGGCAGGAGAGGAGGAACTAGAGAAGGTTTAAGCATTACAATAGATAAACGTAAACCCATTGCAGATAGTATGAATGAACTTACGTGTGAATATATATAGACTCCTAGCATGAGAAAAGATTGATTCACTGATGTCTTCAATATTGCCTCCGGTCGCCTTCTGTGCACGCATAAGTTCTGGACTTCCTTGCTGAGTCCAATATACATACGTTCCATGAAGTTTGACATCCACTGGGTAGTGTGCTGCGGTGAACGCAGTGATCAAAGTGCGCCGGTTTTTACCATCAACATCAGAAAATTCAATTTTACCAGATTCGTCACACCAATAAAGTTTGCTTTCTTTAGTCAAATTAAACAAAAAGGCATTTAAACACATTAAAAAAAAAAACATGGTCTGAAGAGCTATGGGCTCCTCACATTCAGATGGGCGTGGGGCATAGCTCCTCCTGACCAGGACTTAATGATTATTATTATTCAAATTAATATTATGTTTGTCAAATAAACCTGATAATATCCAACTACCGTTCAGGCATTTTGAAAGTCAGAAAACGAACAGATTATACATTAAACCTAATATGATTATATTTATAATTTATAGACCTATTATTATTGTCATGTATCTATTTTCTTTCTACAACGAAACCATTAAGTAGGTCAACCTATAAATGACTATGCTATCATACTACCTTCTTTATCGATTGCAATGGCTGTTGGAGTTGTTAAATCACTGTCTACCAGTATTTCTACGCCACTACCATCTGACATGCGGGCTCTTCCAATTTTTGATTGGCCAACGCCAACGACGATATCTGTCCAGTAAATGTAACTACGGAAGATGGAATATGACATGTTCAATTAAGTATAAGGTTTTGAAATTTAAAAATTGTAAAACGGAAATTAATTAATTTGGGTTTCTGAGTCTGTTCTCTTGATTGGAGAAGGGAATGGAGGGGTAATTAAGGCATTTGTACTTTTTTGTTAATCTCTTTGACTTTAGATTTGTCTTGTTTTGATTTTGTTTGTGTCACCTCCAAAAGAATGTAATATTAAACAATGATAATAATTGTGATAACTCAGTATAGGAGATGAAGCTAACTTGAGGATTATCGTTATTCTTATAACACGATTTTTATAATATAACAGTTATATAGTAATTGTTATACATTTTTACAGGACATAATTACAATATTAGTGTGGTAATCGAAAAAAGGATGTTTAAATGTAGGAAAATGGTTTTGATAATGTACCGTATGTATTTGCGCTTCCAATATGAAGCTACATAAATTTTCTATGTTAATAATGAATAAAAGGGTAGAATAATTTTGCATATATTCACAATAAAATGGACAGAATAGTAAATAAGACAAAATATACACAAGCGTCGATTAATTAATAGGGTTAAGATTGAGCTGGACGGTTATAAGCCTCTTAATACCAAGCTACAAGGTTCCTAATCTATACCAGCGTCCAAAATTACGACTTAACCAGACTGACTAAGAAGAAAATAATAATAAATCATAATGCAAGTGAATTGAGGATTACCGTCTCATAAACAACTTGAATATGAAATTCAGATAATTGTCAACCATAATACCACTACACATTATTTTACTGACATTCATTAAATGCGGTATGAATATATTTAAAACCCAAATCACTGATTTGCATTGAATTTGTGGGCTATGTATGTATTTTGCAAAGAATTATCTTTAATTTATATGCATTAATTTTGTACTTTCGGTACGGCCCCATGACGCTGCAAGTAATATATGGAGGTGCAGGGTTTAATAAAATAACATAAAGTAGTTATTACCTTGAAACGGTTTCGACCTATCCGGCCCTTCTCAGTTCAGGTAATAGGATTAATTTATATGTTTTTGTCATTATTGATCACATTAGAATAAAACAACAACAGGATATAATTTGCCTTTTGATATGAAAATGGTAATCTTTGGACTGCATTTCATTAACAGACGTACTCAACGGGATTGGAAGGAGACATGGTATGAAATGTGTTTATGTATATTTGCAACAATTAATAAAATGTGATATTTGTTTATATATAGCAGCCAATTTGGACAGACAAGAGTGCAAACGTATCCCATTTTACATTGAAAATACTGTAGATGGAATTGACAGCATGTGGTGAGGCAGAGTCGGCATATACAGGCCTCCCTCCAGATAAAGATCACTTTCGGGACCGGGGTGTTTGTAGTGGTCTTTAAATAATAATAATAATAATAATAATAATAATAATAATAATAATAATAATAATAATAATAATAATAATAATAATAATAATAATAATAATATGATAATGATAATGATAATGATAATAATAATAATTATAATTATAATATAATAATAATAATAATAATTTTTATTATTATTATTATTATTATTATTATATTAATTATAATAGTGGGTATTTTTAAGGCGCCGGTATCCGCATATCTTCGTCTATATCTTTAGCAGCTTTGGTCTAGGTTCCCTCTAATTAAAGATCGGCTCTAAAAGTGGTCTTTAAATATCTCTGTTAAGAGAAATTAAGAAATTATATAGTAAATGTAAGATTCTTTTATTCCATGTATTTTCAAAATGGATGTACAGTTAGGCCTACTGTATGCTGTTATTGATTCATAATACCTGTACTGGAGGCCTAACCATTTCCCGGTTGTTCTGTGTTCGTTCTACCCAAATCACCATTACAATAATTACTAACAACACCATCCTACTAATTCAGTGAGACCAATGTAAACACAAAACATCGCCTTAAGTTGCAAATTACTGCATTGGCTAATCATATATAAAACAACTTATAGAAAAAATGCATTGACATCACTATTTATTAAAAAATAGTATTAAAATTGTCAGGGTCTACGAACACCATTGACTTTGGTCTCTAAGATGGAGTCTTTAATTGGCGGGATTACCTAATAATAAAAGATTGGCATTCAACCGGGGATTATAATTGGAGGTGGTCTTTAGTTGGAGGGAGACCTGTAGTTAATGCCTACACTTCGGAATATTTACTTGCTGTCTATGTCAATGGCAATTCCAGATGGCTTCGTCATGTCGTTAATCAGTGTAGAATCGATCATCGTAGCTAAGCCTGCAATTTTTATACAACTGCACTTTAGATCTGACCAATATATATTACGATTCACCACATCGATAACAAATGTAGACAATGCTGGAAAGATAATAATTCAACAGTGAATACACAAGACTCATTTTATATTGTTGTTATACACAGCATTGTAGCAAATCACTTGTCAATTGGACCTTTAATGAGTATCAATCAAACGTAACTGACACATCATAACGTGGCCAAAAATAAGCGCACGTCCTTCGAACACAAGTTTACCTACTTTTGCGCTGTCGTTTCGTGTAATCTTAGCAAAAATACGGTATACAAGGGGCGAGGCTTGGTTTACAGGCTGAAACAATGTGTACAGTTCACGAGACTGTCGATTTCACACGAAAACCACTGAATACATACAAACAGAGATTAGTATATTTAAATCAATTATATAATTTTATTAATAACTTTACCGTGTAAAATGAGAGAAATGATAGGAACACTTCAATTCACTGAAAGTTTATATGCTCAAGTTGAACATTCCTATTTTACTACAAACTGAACAATCTAAAATGTATAACAGCACTGCTAAAGGGATCCGCAAACGATATTGTATATCTACTTACACACGTTTGAAAATACAACTTCCTGGCCAGAACCATCCATATTTGACCTACGTATCTCATTCTTTTCTATATCCGACCAAAAAAGTTTCCTTTCTTTGGGATCAAACTCAACTGTCTTCACTGATTTTGGAGCTGGATTTAATGGAATCTGCTCAAAAATTAAGGTTTCATTGATATACTTATCAAACGACGCATTGAACACTGATATACGTTCTGCAACCAGTACAAAATCACCTATAAGCCGATACAAAAAATAGAAAGTGCAGTAGTAAATGCACAGATAATATATATATGTATATATATATATATGTATATATATATATATATATAATTATATATATCTATATATAGGCCTATATATGAATATATAGTCTTATAGAATATTTCGGCTACTCCTGTAGTCTTTGTCAACGCCAAGCGTTGACAAAGACTACAGGAGTAGCCGAAATATTCGCCCAATATTTTTTTACGTTACGATATACGTTCTGCAACCAGTACAAAATCACCTATAAGCCGATACAAAAAATAGAAAGTGAAGTGGTAAATGCAAAGACTACAGAAGTATAATTATATATATAGGCCTATATATAAATATATATATTTATATA